AGTTTTTGCACTAATCTCTTGTGAGGAACTGTGTCGAAGGCCTTTTTGGAGTCCAAGAAAATGCAATCTACCCACCCCTCTCTCTCGTGTCTTACTTCTGTTACTTTGTCATGAAACTCCAGTAGGTGTATGGCACAGGATTTGCTTTCCCTGAATCCGTGCTGGTTGTCGTTCATGACCTTGTTCCTTTCTAGGTGCTCCACCACTCTCCTCCTTCGATACCTCAGGTAGTTGCCCAATTTCAGTGGATGCGTTGAAAAATGTTAGTGGCACTCACAGCATCTCTGCTCCTCCTCTAAGGACCCAGGGAGAGACGTCCGGTCCCACCGCCTTTGAGGTATCAAGGTCACTTAGGTTCTTTACCTCCTCCTCGGTTGTGTGTATTTCATCTAACACTTGTTGGTATGGTATATCCCTTGTTGGTGTACCCCTCTGTTTTGGCTTCCAAGAGTCCTTTCTGTCTCCACTGTAAATACTTCCTTAAATCTCATGTTGAGCTCATCATATACTTGTTGGTCGTTTCTTGTGAGTTCCCCACCTTCCTTCCTCAGTCTGATTACCTGGTTGTTGACTGTTGTCTTCCTCCTGATGTGGCTATACAATAGCTTCGGGTCAGACTTGACTTTTGATGCTATGTCGTTTTCATACTGTCGCTGGACCTACCGCCTCATCTGTGCATACTCATTTCTGGGTCTTCGACTAATCTCTTTATTTTCCTGGATCCTTTGTCTTCTGTACTTTTCCCATTCTCTAGTGCACTTAATTTTTGCTTCCCTACACCTTTGGGTAAACCAAGGGTTCATTCTGGTCTTCCCATTATTTCTGTTGCCCTTGGGAACAAACCTTTCCTCTGCCTCCTTGCATTTTGTAGTTACATAGTCCATCATTTCGTTTACTGACTTTCCTACCAATTCTCTTTCCCACTGAACCTCCTGCAGGAAGTTCCTCATACCTGTGTAGTTTCCCCCTTTTATAGTTTGGCTTTTCCCATCCTGCTACTGTTACCCTCTCCACTTGTAACTCATGCGTGTGTGTGTGTGTGTGTGTGTATGCATGTGTGTGTGTGTGTGTGTGTGTGTGTGTGTGTGTGTGTGTGTGTGTGTGTGTGTGGAGAGAGAGAGAGGAAGGGGGGGGATGTATGTGTGCGTGCATATGTGTGTGCGCGTGTGTGTGTATCCAAAGAGAAATATTACTATGCAAGCTTAAAAATGTTTGTGGTGTACAGCAGCTCAGTAAGCGTTGGTTTAATATAGTGAGTGAAGAGGACTCCCCAGGTGGCCGAGGCACTCTGTGCGATGAAGTTACTTCATTTCTGCCACCACGGTACCTTATGTATCACCCACCATCACTTGCAACACACAAACTTATATTCAAGGGGACGTGCTTAACCTGTAGAGGTCATACTCTGCCTGGGGGAATAATAGGTAATCAGGGCTGATCTAAGGAAATGGAGCTTTGGTTCTTTAGGTCAAGAGTCCTTTATCAGTATCAAGACACCTCTGGAAAGGTCAGCTTGTGTCATTGCTCTCAAAGTAGTATGCAGAATATATAAAAATGACATTTTTTTAACACACCAGCCATCTCCTAAGAAGGCAGGGTGACCCCCCGAAAAATAAAAAAATAAATGTAATGACAAAGTGTAACAAGTGCTCCTCCCCCCCCCCCCTTCCCACAAGGAAAGGGGGGGGAGGTAGGAGCTGGCTTTATCAAGTACAGTACATGCATTACATAGAAAAAATGCTTCTCAAATAGTGCACTATGCAGTTCATGTCAGGTGTAAGATGGTGGAGCATCAGAGAAGTACTGCAGAAGGCCTACTGGCCCATGTTCTGATTTTGTGATGGAGGCGATGGGTGTGATCAATGTGAACATGATACTTATGACCACTTGTAGTGGATAGCTTGATAGTTGAAGACTCCAGACATATGACTTTGTTGCCATTTTCAAGACATGAAGTGGTGTTCTATTCCACGTTGTGATGTGGGTGTTGGAGTTGCAATGTTATATGCAAACATTACTGAAATTATCAAATCTGAATGCCTACTTGTGTTTTTGTAGGCATGTGGGAAGACTTCTGGCAGTTTCTACGTCTTTGGGTGCTATGTTGGGTGTGGAGGATCTCGTAATGGAAGTTATTACAGCTACATCAATATTAACTTTTCACATGATAGGAAAGACTACATTGGCTGTGGTGTCAGTGGGTAAGATGTGTCTGCATTTTATATTACTGAGTTCTGACAATATTATGTACCTAAGTACAATGTTATATTCAGCGAAAGATTATGTCGGGCAGGGAATGTGAGGTCGATGAAGGTTTTCTCTTACACAATCTTGATCAGTTTTCAGATCTTTGCTGCAAGCTGTAGAGTGCCTGATGGAAGAAACCACACTCTTTTCATATTTTTTTAAATCATGATGTGTGTAGAAGTGTATGAGGTAATCCTTATTGGTGGGTTTCCTATAAACAGTTTGTTGAACCTCGTCGCTCTCTCTCTCTCTGGCAAGTAAGATGTCCATGCATTCCCTTCTGTTCGCTCAGCTTGGTTGAATTGGTCTCTTAAAGTGTTGGGGATGGATAGGCTATCAAAGGAAATGCTCAGTCTCCAATACCTGGTCCTTAAACTGCTGCGAGGTTGTATTAAGTAGTTTGTACACAAGCACAACTACTAGGTTCTGGTTTTCGATTTTGACTATCAGAATTTTGACCACATCACTAGTGATGTTCAGTAGGTCATTGCATATATGTGAATTTAACATACAGGCCACTTTCCCCTTGTTGCCTTTTTTCCAGTAACATCTATATGGGTTGTACCCTTGAATTCGCATCTCATCAAAATATTCTTTTATGCGAGTCTTTGTGAAAGTTGAAGTTGACACAGGCTTCCACTAGAATGATGAAGCCTGGGGTCGGTTATCGAAATCTGTGTTGGAGGTGTCGGGTACAGGTGTGTTTAAGTTGGTCAGTCTTAAAGGACACTCCTAATATTGTCTGCTAAATCATGTGGTAATTATCTCTAAGGAATAGCTGAGCTGTTTAGCTATATGGAAGACCATGTATTTCTCCTGGTCTAGGGGTGGGTATGAATCATAGTGGGAGTATGCTAATTTGTCTCATTAAGGAGATTCATCATTTTGGTGTAGCTGCCCATCTCCAAGATGATAACGACTCCACGCTTGTCAGTGGTAATGATTCTAATGCACTCAAAATCCACTGATTGCTTAAAGCTGAGATTTACCATCTTGGGATGGTGTGAGTAGAGGGTTCTATGCAAAATCTTGAAAATAGTAGTGCTTTGGGATGATGTCAATGTTTTGGTGGTCAACTTTGGATTAAGGCTAAAAGCTTCCATTTCAAATGTTGTGAAGCTACAGGAAGGTAATCTACCCATATCTTTCCTCCAACTGTTGGAACATAACCTGTTTAATTTATTGTTTAGTCTGATCCTCTTCTGAACATTAGCTGTGGTGACTATACTCTGATGTACTTAGCTATGTTTATGTCCATGCTGTCCTAAAGACTACATCCCAGAACCAGAGAGGTGGCAAAAGCATATTTGTTATTAGTAAATTCTGTCTGATAGGTGTGAGAGGTGGTGGAGAAAGGATGATAAAAAATCAGGAGATGAACAGAAGTGGACCAAGGGATAATGATTTCCAGTATTCAGTCATGGAAAAAGGTGTGCCTATTAAGTAAATACATATAGGCTTTTAGAAGGAGATCCAAGTATGTACTCTCTACACAGAAGATCCATGTTTCAGCAGTGTCAGACAAACTGGGCAAGAGGTAATGAAAAGACACTACAATAGCAGAATGGAAATCTTAATTTTAGACATTTCACTGGAAGCCAAGCTTTTTCAGTCTATGGAGAGTGCATGGTTAACAGCAGATGGGGGATGGCTATTGGGTCACCAGTTAGCACTATCCTTGTGAATTTCTTCATGGTGTACCTTGAGGCTGAGAGACTGTGACATCATCTCTGCTGCAGGATGAGCCTTGTCAATGACATCATCGAATCTGACACCCTCGATATCTTCCGTAATAAGAGACGTTATTCAGCTTGCTCCTTCCTTTCCTTGGCATCCTTATAAAGAAAGCACTAATACCCTTCAGTTAAGTGTGTACTTAAACCCACAAACCAGAATCATCTATCATTTCTAGTCTCACCGCTCCACTAGAACCAAGAAAAGTATTCTGTTGGGTTTCTTTCCCAAGGTTTTCATAATACACAGCCCTGATTTCCTGGAAGACAAGTGCCTTTAATTCACTGAGATCTTTTTGCTGTCAACATTTTTATACTGCTTTGTTACAGTAGGATTGTAGAAGGAAAGTACATAGAATAATTATCCTTCTGGGAGTCGATAATAACAGTAACTACTTTTCAGTCATCCCTGTTTCCATGATACCCAAGAGTGCTTCAGGATTACTTATTAAAATTGGCTTACATTATTATTATAATCAAAGAAAGTGCTAAACCAACAAGGGTCATACAGCCCTGCAGGGCAGAATATAATGCTGGGGGCTATAAACAGCTAGGTGGAGAGGGGATCAGAGGTGAAGGAAGAAAAGGGCTGGAAGGGACGCTAAGGGCTATGTGTCAAAGTTCGTACAGTAAAGCAGTTGTTGACAAAAAGTCAAAAAGTGAATGCAAGTCAAAGGCTGGGCCGTCTGCAAGAAAGGAAGATTGGAGGTAAATCCTGCGAGCTTGCTAGTAAACCTGGCAGTTGACAAGAAAGTGAAGAACTGAAATAGGGACCCTACAAACCTCACAGAGAGGAGTAGGGCATCTGGCTTACATTAGGTAATGAAATCTGTCGGTCTGAATTAAAATACTTCTGTAGAATGGTAAGTAAATGGTCAAACATTCCTCAAAGCAGTTTTAATAGAGGGGGGAAAAGCATGGGTGAGCTATTTTTTGGTGCATTCTTAATAAAACTCTTAATTTATTATTTTTACTCAAATATTGATGCTGCCTTTGTAAGTCCTGACTTTGTCCCTACAGATGTGTTGAGTTGTGAGGGGTTCCTCAAGTACCTGATGTCTGATGAGAACACTGTTATGTCTATGGAGAAACTGGACCAGTGTGATGACATGGACCAACCTCTTGCTCACTACTTCATTAACTCTTCCCACAACACTTACCTCATAGGTAAGTCATCAGAAGTTGCCTATGATATATTGTGATAAACTGTGGCACTTGTGAAGAATCTCAGAGTATGTTTTGTCTTGGCCTGGGGTCATGTCAACTTGAAATGAATGGAAGGTTGAGTGATGGGTGCCATGTTCTACTGAGCTGACTAAATTCTCATTTTTTTTATAATTAAGCTCTTAAGTGATATATTTGGATTCATAGATTCTACCCTCACAGCCCAGCTTGAGGCCAGACTGCCCTCTTGTTTGACTGGTGAACCAGGACTTTCATTGTACAGACATGCCTTGTTAATGCAACACTTGCTTTAGAATGCTTCATTAATACAGTACAGTGGACCCTCGGTTTTCGTGATTAATCCATTCCAGAGAGTCTGACGAAACCTGAAAATCACTAAAACCAAAATAATTTTTCCCGTAAGAAATAATGTAAATCCAGTTAATCTGTTCCAGACACCCAAAAGTATTAACAAAAAAATACATTTTTTAGAGAATAACTAAAGTTTTACATACAGAAAATATTTTTTTTTATTTTTTTTTTATTATCACACCGGCCGATTCCCACCAAGGCAGGGTGGCCCGAAAAAGAAAAACTTTCACCATCATTCACTCCATCACTGTCTTGCCAGAAGGGGCTTTACACACAGGTTTTTAAAAACTGCAAACATTAACAACCCTCCTTCAGAGTGCAGGCATGTACTTCCCACGCAGGCTCAAGTCCGCCGCCCGTTTCCCTGAATCCCGTCTGAATGTTACTTTGCTCACACTCCAACAGCACGTCAAGTATTAAAAACCATTTGTCTCCATTCACTCCTATCAAACACGCCTCACGCCATGCCTGCTGGAAGTCCAACCCCTCGCACACAAAACCTCCTTTACCCCCCACCCTCCACGACCGTCCTAGGCCGCCCCTACCCCGCCTTCCTTCCCACTACAGACTGATACACTCCTTGGAAGGCATTCTGTTTTCGCATCCATTCCTCTACATTCCGACCACCTCAACAACCCTTCTCATCCCTCTGGACAACATTTTGGTAATCCCGCAACCTCCTCCGATCTTCCAAACAACGAATTCTCTGCATTCTATTCACAGACACAACTGGTCTTGAATTGCCCTCAGGACATGACATCCCACAGCCTCCAGCCTTCTCCTCCTGGAACATTCATCACCCACGCTTGCACAACCCATATAGACGTTGGTAAAACCTATCCTCTCATACATCCCCTCTTTGCCTCCAAGGGCAAAGTTCTTTGTCTCCACAACTCCTAAGTGCACCACTCAACGTCTTTTCCCTCATCAATTCTAACTGATTCACCTACATCTTTCATAGACCCATCCGCTGACAAACCCACTCCCAAATATCTGAATACGTTCAACCTCCTCCATACTCTCTTCCCTCAATCTGATATTCAATCTTTTCATCACCTAATCTTTTTGTTATCCTCATAACCTTACTCTTTCCTGTATTCACCTTTAATATTCTTCTTTTGCACACCCCTACCAAATTCATCCACCAATCTATCTCTCTCTGCAACTCATCTTCAAATCTCCAAGAGCACAGTGCATCAGCAAAGAGCAGCTGTGACAACTCCCACCTTGTGTGTGATTCTGGATCTTTTAACTCCACGCCTCTTGTGCCAAGACCCTCCGCATTACTTCTCTTACAACCCCCTCGATAAATATATAAAACAACCACGGTGACACACACATCTTTGTCTAAGCTACTTTTACTGGAAAAAATTCCCCTCTTCCTTACAGACTCTAACTTGAGCCTCACTATCCTCGTAAAAACTCTCACTCTTTCAGTAACCTACCTCCTACACCATACACTTGCAACATCTGCCATCATTGCCCCCCTATCACCCTGTCATACGCCTTTCCAATTCATAATTGCCACAAAGACCTCTTAACCTTATCTTAAATACCTGTTCACTATATGTTTCCACTGTAACAACCTGGTCCACACACCCCCTACCTTTCCTAAAGCCTCCGTGTTCATCTGCTATTCCTATTCTCCGTCTTACTCTTAATTCTTTCAATTATAACTCTAACCATACACTTTACCAGGTACACTCAACAGACTTATCCCCCTATAATTTTGCACTCTCCTTTTATCCCCTTTCCTTTATACAAAGGAACTATGCATGCTCTCTGCCAATCCCTAGTACCTTACCCTCATCCATACATTTATTAAATAAAATTGCACAACCACCCACTCCAAAACGATATCCCCACCTTCTTTTAACATTTCATCTTTATCCCATCAATCCCGGCTGCCTTACCCCCTTTCAGTTTACCTACTGCCTCACGAACTTCCCCCACACTCACAAACTGACCTCTTCCATCACTCCTAACAAGATGTATTCCTCCTTGCCCTATCCACAAATTCACAGCTTCCCTATCTTCATCAACATTTAACAATTCCGCAAAATATTCTCCATCTTCCCAAATACCTCTAACTCTCCAATTTAATAACTCTTCCTCTCCTATTTTTAACTGACCAATCCATTTTGTTCTACTAGGCTTTCTTAACTTGTTAATCTCCACTCCAAAAACTTTTTCTTTATTTTCACAACAAATTTGTTGATAACATCTCACCCACCACTCTCTCATTTTGCTCCTTTTTAATACATTGCTTCACCACTCTCTTTAACTTCTCTCTTTTTCTCCATATACTCTTCCCTCCTTGCATTCACTTCTACTTTGTAAAAACTTCCTCATAATGCTAACTTTTCTCCCTTACTACTCTCGTTACATCATCATTCCACCAATCGATCCTCTTCCCTCCTCACCCACTTTCCTGAACCACAAACTGCGTGCTGAACACTTCTAACACTAACATTTTTTACACAAATAATGAAAATAAAAGATAAAGCACTAATGAAAATGGATAAATGACATTTTAAAATCACTTTTTACTTTTTATTGAAGACTCTCTTGTGTAGAAAATTGTGAGGAGGGAAGGGAACAAAGTTTATTGTTTGGAGACCGACAGAATGCAGCTATGATCTATCACAATTCTCTTATAGACATAATAAACAATATTAATAACATAGAAACATAATATATACTTTAGAATGAATAAAATACGTCATTACGTGTGTGACGAGTGGTGATGGTGGTGGTGTTGGGTTTGTAAGGGCCACTGACAGCATAAGCCATACATATAGTGATGGTGGTAGCGGCAGCAGAGGCCACCACCATTAGTCACGCTGAAACATGTACGTAATTTATAAATAAAGAAATATTTACACTTACCTTGGAGGAGACGCTGGCATTGGTTTTGGGTGGTGGAAGATACGCAGGGCGGCGTATGTTGTCAATGGCCCTATATACCTCCAACAACGTTGGAGGAGTTTTGTGTCTTACTTTATCTATTACTTAATTGCTTAACTTACTTGCTACACTGTTAAGGATACACTTTATTGCTGGCTGGCACTATAGCCTTTATTGACTCCTGCTGCTTTAGTATCATACATATCGTAGAATCACTGAAGAAAGCACATTCTTCCCTATCTCTTCCTCCTCCACTTTGGTACTTTGCTACGAGTTCTTTCTTGAATTCTGTCGTGTTTCTCACCTTCTTTACCAAAAGGCTGGCACTAGGAGCTTTCTTTGGGTCCATGGTGGCTTATTTAGCAGTCACACACAATAAACAAGTGCAAAAAACAACGGATTATGAAATGTTTTGTATGACCCCACAGGGTAATGTTCACTCGCCGAGAAACAAGCTACACTGACTCGGAATGTGTGCGTGGGGGGCTTTGTGCCTCTGTGGCACTCAGACATGTTCTGTATGACTGACAAAACCAGAGGGAATTAATGAAAGCAGAGATCATATTTTGAAGAAAAAAGTCGGCGATAACCGAAAATCATGAAATCAGAGGGTCCACTGTACTTTTCAGATATATTCATGTTTATTATTTTTGGTAGTGATGCATACATCAGCTGACTGGCATCATTTTGTTACCCACACTCAGTCTGTTTTTAAGGAATAGCACTATTGCACACTTAATAAATGATAGTGTAAACATGTTTTTAGGTTTTTATATGTGCTGGAAAGTTTAAAAAAAGGCTGTGATTCATTTTAAAGCGATATTCATTTTACAGCCATGGTCTGGAACCTAACCTGCCTTATTAGCAAGGTATGGTATACCAGTATATCTTAAGCTTCACTTTCATCTTCTCATTCCTCTCGCCTCACATATATTACAGTTTAGTAATTAGGGAGAAAATTATGTTGGGTGAGGTTACTTTTGTGCATAACATGTCACTGCAGTACAATACCTGATGAAATTGACTTCAGCCTCATCTTTGTGCATAAGACTGTTATTGCTGTAAGGGTGGGTGGGTGGTGGTACACGTTAGTGTCTATAGCTACCACTGATTCAATTTTTTTTTTCTTACTTGGGGATTGAAGGGGGATGATTTGCAGGCTTTCCTTGCACTGGCTTTTAAGTTTATTAATATTGTGTTTTTGACAACCAGGTCTATATTGTGTTTCAAGGATTATACACAGATAACCCACACATAGGAGAGAGAATCTTATGATGATGTTTTGGTGTGAGTTGGACCACTTACAAGCCCCACTAACACATGAAGGTATGGAACCAGTAGAATATAAGGAAGGGCCAACCAGGGACAGGACAGAGAGAGGATGAGGCGAGGGATAACGATGTCATTTCCACTTCATACCCTCCTTGACTAATTTCTTAGCTGTTTGCTTTGCCACTTCAGCTACCCTCACCGAATCTTTTGATCAGCTATTACTATACGACAACGACAAGCGTGATATTTCTTAACTACTACTTTTAGTATTTTGATATTTTTCCCTAAATTGTGTGTCCATGCTCACCAGAGATGGGTCCATGTTAATTCTTTACCGAACCCATCTCAAGCTGTACAGGTTCTTCTATGAGATGCAGTGTATGATTTTCTTTTGCGTAATTGAACAGAATTTATAGTCCTCTGACCATGTCTAGGTCGTTAGCCAGGGAGTT